ATAACCCAAAGTAGACATGTATATATGTATGTATCTTTCCTTTTTCAGTAGTGATTATTATTGTTGATCTTTTGATAGGAGTATGCTATTTTTTCTACTTTTTGGAAAAATTTTGTAAAGAGCAAAAGTAGAGGTATGGAAGAGGGTTTCAGTTTGTAGATAGCCTTAAACTTTGATAAAGAATATATTGAAAACTCGCTTGTTATTCTCCTTAAACAACTATCTTTACTTCATTAGCAGAAGCAGAGCTTCTATTAAAATTTTTTACACAGAACACCACCTTCTTGTCAGTTATCTTGTACAAGAACACTTTTAACTTGTATGCTGAATATATAAAGGAGTCTGAAAAAAGACAAAACAAGCCTTGACCTCTGTAAAAACTATTATTTGTAATTTCTCTTCTGCTTTTCTCCAACAAGTTTTTGTTTTCATTAGCCGTAAGTTTGGTACAAGTAATTGTCAGAGAGAAAGATATGGTTTTTTTATCTAAACTATATATTTGAAACACCACACATTGGTATATAAATAATTTTTATTGATTTAAAACAGCTAATGTTTATGATTCAAATATATTATGACAATTGGCTTGCCAAAATTATATATTACTTGTTTTATATTAAACCCTATGTTTGCTATGTATGTTTATTTCTTGAATTAAGAATTTATCAGGAATAATTTGGGTTTCCAGTTTCTCCCCAGTGGGAATCTTATATAGGAGTAACCCATCAACTTGCATAATTCACAAAAATTTTATCCAAGTACAATCATTACGATTTATTTAATTTATTTGATTGATTTATAAATATCCAATTCTAGTCGCGTTATATTATTAAGTAATCGGTTGTTGTTTATCATTAATATGGCTGGTTGAAACGCAACACGAATAAATATGCAATTTACTTCCGCATTACCTTATTATTATAATCAAGCGTATTAGATATTGAAACAATTCTCAACATCTGATCTTACTGATTAATAAATACAATGACATATTTTTGTGAAAGGTTAAATATATCTACATGTTTTGATTATAATTAACGATTTTCAAAGCAAGTTTAATTTGATACTGAAATAATGATAATATATTTTGCAATCGTACATTTCTATAAAAAGTTAAATGCAAATAATACGCATTACCATTACGATTTTCAAAGCAAGTTTGATACTGAAAAAACGATAATATATTTTTTACAATTGAGCATTTTTAAAAAGTTAAATACAATTAATATGTATTATGATTTTCGGGTGAGCTAGTCCAAATCAGTCTTTAGTCGACTAAGCCGGTTTTTTGAAAACTCGACCAACCTAGCCGGCTAAGTCGACTAAGGCCAAATCGACTAATATCCCTAATTACCGGTTTTTAGACTACTATCGTATATCAAATTTTTAATTGCACATATAAATAATTTGTGTAACAATAGTTCCGGAATTTATCGGATACGAGTGTCTTAGTAACATAAGCAAAAATGTTCATTTTACCTTACCCTAACCCTAATCCTACTCGTAACCTAATCCTAATTCATATTGCAGGCTCAATTTTGCTATAGCCTGGGCACTGTTTAGATTTTTTCTAAATGGGATTATTTAAAAAATCAACAAAAATATATAATCTAAAATTTTATTAATATATTTTTATTTTATATCTTACAAAATATTAAAAATCAGATTTTAAATTTTGGTTCTAAACCAAACCAGGGTTCAGAACTTATATAAAAAACCTGGATCTTTGATTTTTAAGTTGAAACTAATTTTAACATCCCTACTTAGCCTAGTGCTAATGCCAAGGCATCGAACCACCAGAATCCACCAACTCGAGCAATTATCTGAACAGAATTACTTATAAACTCTTTATTTCTATTAAACTCTTTATCAATTCTGCTTAAACCTTCAAGAAACGTTTCATAATCCACTTGTTCAGGTATAATAGGTTCAATATCATCTTCTTCGTCTGTTAGGAATGTGTCAGAGTCAGAGTCAGATGTATTTTCGTCTCTCTTAGATTTGTCATCGCGTGAGTGATCATAAAAAGATACATTTTCTCCTTGATAATGTGTGTAAAGTGTACTGAACTGAATTGTCAAATCGAGAACATCTAATATAGATTTATGGATAGGAATTGTCTTCATAACAACAAATATATCATCGTTACATTTAATCATTGTTACGCGAATAATTAATAATGTATAGTTATAAACAGTGTATATTATGATTAACATACCTTATCACTAAGCAAGCATCGATCATGTACAGCGTTAATATAGTGGTTGTGCAAAGAAACCATCTCATCAACATCAAAAACTTTTTCTAACTTCTTGTAAAATTTTTCCGTTTCCGAAAGCAGTATCTGAACAGAAAATTGTTATGAAGAAAAAACAAAACAAAAAAAAAAAAAAAAAGAAACGAGTAAAAAAAATGATCTATTTATTAATGTACAAATTACTCACATTTCTCATCGCATAATCCCATATTGTATTCAAAAACCATATCAATTTGATTCTAACGCCATAAAACAAGACCATGGCGGTTGTTTTGTCCGTCATTTCATTGTTTCTATTTAAGCGCGAAAACGATAAACGCTCCAGAAGATACTTGGCCCGCTTCACTTGGAGCAAAAAAACCACTATGCGCTTGTAGTATTGTAGAGCTTTAATTTGTATTATGTTGTTAATAGGCCATGGTATCTATGAAACAAATCTTATTACTATTAGTGTCATAAATTTAGATTATAGAAATTCACATCGATCATGCTTACTCGATACTCAATAACAATTTTTTCAAATACTCTCACAGTGGTGATGTCAGGCCTTTTTCCAGGTACGTCATCTATCCACGCGCTGACCAAGCCTCCATCCAACCATTTCCATTTTCTTACTGTATTCAGAAAAATATCATTGAAGATATATCTATCATACCACATTTGTTTTTTATCTATCTACGATTAAAAATTTTTAAATAAATAAGAGCTTTTTGTCGATAGATAAAAAAGTTGGCATTCACTAACCCTCTCAAATAAAACATCACATAACAGGTGCATTGATTCCCCTTGCTGCATGAAATATATCCCTGCAAGAGAACGTAAATGCTTCCATAAACGACATTTCTCAACCAATGCATCATAAAGTTGTCGACCAATTTGTTCATATCTGGGCTGAATATAACCCTCAAATCGTTCTTTTAATCGTTCATTAAAAGGTTGAAAGATAAGCATATCATTTATTTCTTCTAATTCCATTTTCACATCCTCTTTTTTTTCTGTAGATGACTGCCAAAGAGGAAACAAGGTTGATATTGTCTTAGGAAAAGCATCGATAATGCCATTAAAATCAGAGAGACTCTCCATTTCTGGTAGTTTATAATCAATTCCATTAGCTGAGGTATTTTCTACCACTGACAACTTGTGATCAATTTTATTATCTGAGTGATTATGATCAACTTCAACTTCATTATCTGAGTGAGCATCATTTTTATTTTCTGAGTGATTATGATCAACTTCATTATCTGAATGTGCTTTATCAATTTCAACTTTATTATCATCTGAGTGTGCTTCATCAATTTCAACTTCATTATCTGAGTGTGCTTCATCATTGTTATTTAATTTTCCACCGAATAAACGTAATGACTCTATATCAAGAACAAATTCCTCAGAATTATGTTGTAGAGACAACATGTACTCTCTAATATCTACCTGAATTGTTAATGAAAATTATGAAATTCATTCGGTCGATTATAAGAAAAATGAGTATGCAAAATTTGTACCTTTCCTGTTTTTAAGGACATTAGTAAATTTTGTGCTTTCCCACAGAATAAAATGCGGCCTATTAAAGGTTCCAAAAAAGGTGGCAATAATAACTGGGCTGATTCAACATTATCAATTATAACACGAGCCTCTCGAATCTTATACATTTCCTGCCAGTACTGCGACGATGTATTATTTATCGTTTGAGACCTAAATAAAAATAATGATGTTAAAAATTCGGCAACACATAAAGAAAAAGAAAATAATTTACCTTACAAAAAAGAATTCATTTTCTGGATCATTTAATGTCCCTGTACAAATCCATTCATCAATCATACGAATATAAGGTACAAGCGAATTATCAAGGTGTTCTCCCAACATGATAAATATTTTTTTATTCCCTGATATCTGGTGATGAACAATTTCATTAAATAACCCAGATAGTATTTTATATGCAATTTCACAAGATGAGTAAAGATGTGTTGAAACAGTGACATCTGATTGGCCTTGATCAGAAATATCTAACAACCTGTTAGGAAAATCTGAAACAAAGTTCATTGAATTAATTTCCTCAGGGTTAATAACCGCATAGATAAATTAGCAAATCTGACAAGTACCGTGCGAAAGATGCTTTTCAAAAAAATCATAAACGATCTTAAATTCATATAAATGAAGGGAAATATGATTTCGAAGCTGTAAAAGGGAAATATACGTGTCTTGATCTTACATATTGGAAAAAATATATATATAGATATTATAATCCATTTTATAAGGTTTACAACGAATATCAAAAGATCAACAATAATAATCACTACTGAAAAAGGAAAGATACATACATATATACATGTCTACTTTGGGTTAT